CCAGGTAGATAGACAGCTGCCGTACGGATCATCCCTCCTTCATCTTCGCCTTACCAAAGCATAAATTGCCAACCATTCAATCAGCAACGTGAGACTCTATCTGCTGTAGCGAGTGTAGCTAGGCAATCTGCTTTCTTACCCTGATAAAAGGCTTTAACGCAGCTAAGCACGCACCGACCTAAGCATCTCAGCATCTAATAAGCACTTGAGCACCTGCACCTGCACCTGCACCTGCACACATGCAACACACCACCATCCATAACCACACAAAACACAACTCAAAAAAGTCAAGGCAACATTTAATTTTTGATATTCTTCAAATCATCATCCATTTTCTTGTCATTGATTGAACAATCCCTTTCATCTACCTACCTACCAACCTACCAACCTACCTAGTCATATTGAAAATCGTTGAGCGTGTGTCATAAAGAACCCCTCTATTTTCCCCCGCAGATTATTAAAATTGTGCTTTGGAATTCTCTTACGAAATAGACAATTCGTGACTAAGAGATTTTCTTCATCTCTCTTTTTTTTCTTCCTTTGATCAACCTCTGTACAGTGCGAGTGCAACCACATTTTTTTTAATATTTATTAAGAAAAAGAAATAGAAAGAAAGAAAGAAAGAAGAAAAAAAAGAATCACAGGGCTTGCTGGCTTGTCTATTATTCACCGTCTATTTGTCTCCCTCGTTGAATTAATTCCAACCACCTGGATTCAAAATCACACATTCTTGTAAAAGATTCCCCTCACCTCCAGGTCGCGTGCAGCATAAATCCCATCCAATATGGCTGTGGCAAATTCAAACGTACCACTGCCATCCAGGCCGATGAAATCAGCTCCTACTTTAATATCTCGCAAGCATTCAATAACGCCTCCAATGTCGGATCGTGGAGACAGGACCAGCTTTTCAAGTGTAAAAGAAAATACTTCGGGAGTTCCTCAATCTTTCACGGATTCCAAGGTTAGCTCTTACCTGAAGTACGAGGTCGACAACAACGAGAACGAGAACGAGAACGAAATCGCCATTGACGATACAAGCAGCGGCGGTTCCAGAACCCCCCCAGAAGCCGTTGAGCCCGAAATGCAAACGTTGTGGTCTACAAACCCTCACAGCACTCTTCATGGACTCGTTTGCCCTTGCGATGGCTTCCGAGGCTGGAAGCAAATTGCAGTACGTGGTAAGATTGCAAGTAAGAGCTACAGTGATTTACGGAACATGAAAATGGGTTGGGGATGGGACAGTGACTATGAGCCAAAGCCTACTCCTGAGCCGGAATTGAAGCCAGAGGCACAGCTGGTTGTGGAAGAAGTCGGAGTCGCTATTTCTGGAAAGTCTCCAATAGAGATGCTACCCGCGGAACTACTTGGTAAGCTACTTCCCTTTGTGATAAATTCCACCAACCGGATTACTGGATATATATTTACAACACGAACGCGCCTGCTCGCCCAAATCGACTCCAAGGAATCGGCCCTCAGGGTATGGGTGATGATGTAGTCACATGACTCTAGTTCCTCGGGGATATCTGGGAACAGCTTTATCTACAACTCCGTAATAATCCTGTGGATTACCAGGAGCTTGAGGTTCAACGTATGCCTATGATGACTTTGGGTATAGTGCTAACGTCAACAGGCGCTATCATTGATCAGCTTGTTACCGATATTCCTCCAGGCGGAATCACACCACGCAATGTTGACTTGATGTCTCTACTCCTTACATCGCACGCGATGCATTCGGCGACTCTAGCTTCATTGTATACGAAGATTACCATTCCACACTCTCGAGTCTTCCGCAAATTTCTGGCTCATATCAGAGAATACCCGGCTCTAGGCACGATTGTTCGACGATTGGACTTCTCCCACTTCAACCCAACAGGCATTGGCCTCACTGCTAGACAGCGCGCCGAGACATTGAACTTGATTCCTGCAACACTTCTCGAATGTCTGTCCCTAACTCCAAATTTACGGGAATTTTTGAGCCAAGAGCACATCGACGACGACATGGATGCAAAGGTCATTCAAAAACTCCTGTGCGAGTTGCCAAACATCCAAGCCTTGGATTTCTGCGCTTGCTCATCGGCTTCTTTCCGTGACTCCTTCACCACGGTCATCAACACTTGTGAGATTCCTGGAGTTCTGCCCATTACCAGATTGAGTTTCCACGAATGCACAAATTTGCCATCCTCAGTCTTTGAGACACTCATTCCACGACTTCCGCAATTGACTCACCTTGATGTCGCACATACTCGCATTACCGACGACATTCTCTTCTCTATTCCCAAGACAGCGAAGCTTACACATTTGAATATCAGCAAGTGTTCTTACCTCTCAGGAGATCGGGTAGTCGAATTCCTCAGCACACATCCAGCTGTTCAATCGCTAGCCTACCTTAACCTTGGCTCGGATATTAAATCCCACGAAATGTTCAAACGTTCTGAGGTTACAGCTTTACTTCCAATCCTACCCAACACTCTTCGATCTTTGAGTCTCAAGGGCAGCGAGATGCATGAATCGCACATTCCACTCTTCCTGCCACTTACAAAGCATCTCGAGGAGCTCGGTTTGGGTCATGGCTTGGTACTGTCTGACATTCGCCGATTATTTGTGCCAGACCAAGATGCCAGTATTGAAGAGCAAATTTCCTGGGTTCCACACACGCTGCATTACATTGACGTTTCAGATCTTTCAAAGTCTCAACTCGATCTAGGCACTTTGTTCGGTTCCAGTTGTCCAATACTCAGAAACGATACTCTACCACTTGAAGTCCTCGAGATTGGTCTAGAATGTTTCAAAGTCATGAATACTAGTTCTCTGGTGAAGCGCGCGGGTTGGTGCTTGAAAGAGGCAGGTCGAAGATACTGGTTGGTTCGCGACGATAAGACTGGGGATGGTGAAAAGGACTGTGGAGGAAGACAGTGGAAGTGGGGAGCTAATTATTGGGGAATGAGAAAAGTGCCAGTTGCTAGAGCAGAGGTGGGTGGCATGTATGGACATTATATGTTCAAGAGATAGAAGTCGTGAAGGGAGAATGGTTTCTTGTTGGATCTTATCTTATTGGTCTCATGGTTCCATGCGATTTCTTTGGGCGGTTCAGGATACCATGCTTTTTTTTGGAGCGAGCTTCTTGGGGCGACGTCTTTTGGGAGTCATTTTAGGGGAGTTTTTGTTTGGAGGATAGGCTGGTGGTTGAGTGATGGTTGGTGGTTCATTCTACTCTACTCTTTATTTTGGTCTGGCTTCAGATGGTTCGCTTTTCGGATTACGTGCATTTTCGGAGTATTGCGGAACAGGAGGGATCGGATATACCTATACCGTACGACAGCAGAAAAGGGCCAAAACTAGCATAGCATGGGATAGCATAGCGTTATTTTCGGGAGCCAAAAAAAATCACAAATGATATTACAATGATATTGCAGGGGTATCTTGTGGTGACGAGAGTTTTAGGTGACTGGATTGGATCTTGTATTTTTGTGTGATGATGTGTGACTTGATCCCGTTTTGAAGTCTAGTAGAAGACAAGTCAAGTCTTGCAAGGAGCTCATCAGGCCCTTTACGACAACTTTGCATGCCATGTAAATACTAGCTATGATAGAAATGGTGAAAACGCCCAGAGCTAAGACAAACAGAAATTGACGATCTTGAAATGTCAGACCAGACAGAAGCAGGTAGTACCAACAAGGGGCATTAATACCAACAATTTGGTTGAAAATATTTTCATTTGGCTAGCCAAGCCTTTGGCCCTCCCTCGACAAGTGGCCGAATTCAGAGTACCTACTTGCACAAAAAGACTTGGATAATACATCCTATCTTATTTTGCACCGGATGTGATGAAGATGTGAGTATGAAATAGAAGGAGATGGTCGGATGGAAATTGTAAAATCCTTCGCGACTCCTTCCCCCTTTTTAAGGATGGGGTATCGGTTGGGTGACACAGTAATACCACCTCCATACTATATGGAGTAGACACTTGTCTGTAACACGGAAAAAGTTTATGATAATCTCTAATTCGAGTCTGAATAAACTTGTCGAAATATGGCATGGACGTCAAGTCAAGTCCAATTGCTAGATCTGATTTACCATCCAGACCTCTAAATCGCGTATCTACCTAGCAGGTAAGCTACACACCATCTGGTTGGTAGACCACGTTATGGAACCGCTTCGCCACGATCTGGAATTGCCTATTTTTGTACTTGGTAAGATACTAGGTACCGATCATAATCAATCGTGCCCACCTACCTATCAATGGTTGCTATAAGATAAGGTCGGGTCACTTGGTACAGCATGGCCTGATAATTGTAGGTGTGAGGGATGAGATCTGACTTGTGTACTCCATAATCGAGTGAGTACCACCAATACCAACACATTTCTCCCGATTCTTCAACATTCTGCATGAGAGATTTTTTCCTCGAGAACTTTTGCAATATCAATTTCTTACCTCGAGTAAGGATCTTCATCTCCAATTCAGAAACAAGGGTCCTTCGCAAGGAAGAAGTAGTATCTCAATAACATTAAGCTTTACAGAGGATAGTGTCCGGATACTTGGCTGATCACTGAACGCATTAGGATAGTGACAGGGTGGATAAGACATTTTGAGTTTAGTCAGGAACCGAAAAGGGGACGTTGGATTCTTGGTTCCTACCCTATCTTGACACTTTCCTTTGCTCTTCCGTTGTTGTTTTTTTGAGGCATGCAACGAGCTACGATTTTTTTTGTAAAGAGACGATTAGTTTTTGAGTTTTTTTCCTTTATACCCTTTGGATTTTTGATTTTGGAGGAGAGATAACTACTTTTGGGTTGTCGCATTTCGCAGGGTTTGGCTGTGACGAAGAGAGAAAGAAATTGGGAACTTGGGGGTGATAATGCGATAAAGAAGATTGGACGATACAGCTCGATTTACCTTTACAGAGGGCTTCACAGACGGACTTCGCGACACCGAAGATTTTGGGGAGATACTGGGAAGGGACATTTAATTGTTAGAGGGTCGGAAGATAAGAGAGGGGAGGATGCCTAGTAGAGGGGAGAGAGAACCGCGGAAGCATAGGAGTAGGACGAGTCAAGATTTGGGTTATGGAGGGTATGATGGACAACAGGGAGATGATTATGAGGGTGGATATGGAAATGATTATGGGCAGGAGAGAACGAGAGACAAGGATAGGAAGGAGAATAGAAGATCGAGGGGTTATGATGATGGGCTCGTGAAGGAGAAGAGCGCTGCGGCTGGAAGAAGATATGATGTCCAGGCTCCTGATGCTTCGATCGTTTTGGAAGGCTACAGGGCGGATATTTTGAATGGGTTTGAGGAGCCACAGGCGCGGTACAATCCGGTGAGTTGCAGATTGTTGTTGTGCGAACGCCTTTCGAGGAGAGATCAGAGACTAATATTTTGTCATGGCATAGGCAAATACGGCGCATCCGCAAAGCTCTATGTTACTCAATATCAACGATCCTATACAAGTACATTTGTTAGTGGAGACAGCGTTATGGGATGCGAAGGAATATGAAATTCTGTCCCCAGAAGAAGTTGACGACCTGAAGAAACAATGCCAGTCCCTGAACCAACGAATCCAAACTGCGCGACAAAACTTGGTGGTCCACTCGAAATATCGCGATGCGGCTCGTTCTATGACAAAATTATATCCGGATAAGAAGAAGAGTGTGGATTTGAATGATGCCAATAAACAAAAACGCGGTATATTTGGAAATAGGAATAGAAGCAATAGCGACCAGGTTCGGGATGCTGATATAGAGCGTGCGGATAGTGAAAAGAAATGTGAAGACCTGGCAGCCGAGTTATGGTCTCTTGAAAAGCGGTTGGTTGAACCGGAGCATCGATTACTGAAGCACACAGCGGGTATTCTTCAGATGACGCATAAGGGTCCGAAGAGAGACCCCGGGGGTGATGATTCTCGTCAAGGTGGTATACCCCTGGAAGTCCGGAAAGTATGTATACATATCATAATGCTAGGAACAGTCTTGAAGTGATCGAGGATGAATTTGATGAAAGGAGCTTGTACCGGCAATTGGATCCTTTGGATATATCTTTCGGTGCTTTTGGCATGAATCAGACATTGGAAACGCCGTCTACAGAAAGGTCAAAAGAGCATATGCAACTCATTACAACTACTGAACAGAAATTGGAAGATCTTAATTCTGCTTTGAGAGAAGTAATTATCAAGGCCAATCCTGACCATGATGCAAGCCAAAATCCAGTGCCACTTGCAAGAACCAACGCTCAAGGAAAACCAACACAACCTGGAGAAACTCTACAAAGTCATCTTGATTACTTGGAGAAGGGCATCGCTGCTCTTGATCTAGAGTATACTGCTTCCAAACGACAAGCAGATGAGTTAAATGCTTCTATGGAAGACACTTTGGAAGAGTTGAATCGCGAGGTTAGGGGTCTTCTTTCCCCTACACACCCAGAGTTACAAGAGCCACCAGCAATTACCGGACAACAAACTGGCTTGAGGGAGCAATTGTATTATTTCCAGGATATTATTGCTTCAGTAGAAGAGGAGCTTACGAAAGCTGCTGAAATAGTTGCCAATCCTCCGGTCAATAAGAGTAAATCTGGAGATAGTGATCAAATGGAAGCCGTGCTCATGGGTTTGTGGGATATCATACAATCTGGAGAGGAAGAAATTCGAAAACAGAAGCAGGAGCGGAGACAAAACCGTGCGGCGAATGGTCGTGTTCCTCAGGATGATTCTGATACTGGTTCTGAGATGGGTGATCCAAATGAGCCCTTTACACTCCAATCGTTCTCTGCCAAGGTGCAGTGGCTGTATTCTTCGGCTACTAAATTAAAGGAGCATAAGAAGGTTCTTCAAAGACAAATCAAACAACAGCGAGAACTGAATAACAAATCCGATGCTCAGAAGGATGCCGAGCTTGTAAGCAAGCAAGAAGAGCTTGACAAGACTACAGGTCTTCTCGAGAGGACAGAACGCAATGCTGCTGATCTTCAAGAACAACTCAGTAACGTCATGACTGAATTGATGAAAGCTAGGCAAGCAGATAAGATGGATACCGAGGCGCAGGCTAAGGATTCCGTTGCCCTTCGAGAATTACAAGAACAGCTTGCCGAATCCCGTCGTCTACATGAGGATGAGCTTACCAATTCTCATCGTGAAGCTTCGGAGCGAATTGCAAGTCTTACTGATGCGCATCGTGATTCACAAGAACAACTTGCAATTGCGGCTCGTGATTCGCAGGAACGAATTGCTGGTCTGGCAACTACTAATCGAAATCTCGAGGATCAGCTCGCTGCTGCCAACAAAAAGATTGATGAATTGGAAAGTGAACTCCGGGAACTCAAAGACGATAACGGTATTAATAGTGCCGATGTGACAAGCAAGTTGAGTGGACATGAAGCTAGAATTGCGGAGTTGTCAACTGCTGTAGCTGCTGCTGCCACGACTAGAGTCGCTCAGGAGAATTCTCTCAGAGAAAAGGATAGATTACTGGCGGAGAAAGAGAAGGAGGTGGAAGATATCAGTATGAAGGTTGCAGAATTGCAAACGGAAGTTGTCATTGCGAGAGCAGAACTCGATGGTGCATATGGCTCACGAGCTCAGCGTGCTGCAGAAGTTGCTTCGAATCCAGTCATTCAGAAGGAAATCGATGCTATGACAAACAAGAATAAGGCGTTGCAAGAACAAATGGATGCACTTCATAATAAAAATTTCATGCTTCAAGGCGAGATTGCGGAACTCCAAGCAGCCAGATCTCCGGGCCCAACAGCGAATAGCGCGGAGGCGGAGGCGAAGCTTAAAGAACTTAAAAAGGAGCTTGAAGAGACGATAGAAGAGTATGAAATTATGACTAAAGCGTCGATTGAATGGGAAAAAGAGAGAGAGAAGTTGGAAGCGGATATTGATAAACTGAGGGATGAGAGGGAAAATCTTGAGAGTCAGTTAAGTGATGAGAAGGTTAGGAATTTGGGGATGAGGAGTCCTGGGGATGGAAGCGTGACGCCGACTATGAATAATACGAGCACGACGGTGCTGAAGAATGAGTTTAAGAAGATGATGAGGGATTCGAGGGCGGAGGGGCTGAGGGCTTTGAGGGTGAGTTTTTGGCTTTCAATTGTCGTATTTGATGGGATTGTGCTAATAAATTCATAACAGGCTGAACAAACGGAACGAAGAAGAATTGAGGAAGAATTGAGAGCAATCAAAAAGGCGCAGGGTCCGGGTAGATCGCGCTTGAGTCAAAGTGTTTCTTGATTATCGCTAGAGGTTTTGGAGTTTGACGATTATACCTTGGGCTCTTGATGCATGGGAGATTGAGCGAGGAAAAGAATAATGAAATTAGCACGTCAGAGTAGAGTGTAGCGAGTGGACATGGATGGATTGGTTTAGGTATACGGATTTCGAAACTAATATTGATGATGACATTTTGGAGGAGATTTTGAGAGCATTCATTGTATTGTTAAAAGCGGACGCGGATGGGAAAAGGAAGAGGATGGGTAGGTGGGCATGCGTGCATTAGCATTAGTATTTTTTGATAGCGTTAGCTCCAGGTGGTTACTGTTATGCTGTGAGCGGAATGATGCACTACTGTGTTGTTTGGCTGCATTGGTTGGAGTAGTGGGTATGAGGTAGTAGGTAGTAGGTTTAGACGGCTCCTTTTTTTTAGATGGAAAAGTAAAATATGAATATAAATTCTAGTACTCGAGATTCATGTGTCATTATTTGCGTGATTTGATACATAGCATCCTAGGTAGTTTTTCACATTGTTTGCTAGGTGGTGATTGATGCACGGGTGTAGAGCATGTGAAAATTGCTCGAGAGGGAAGATTGTGTGTGTGTGCTGGGATTCTCTGGAAATTTTTATTCAAGATAGAAGCGAGATGATCCCCTTTTTCTGAGAATGCTATGGATGGATGGATGGATGGATGGAAATATTAAGATAAGTATTTAGTAGGTAGGTATTCACTCATGACTTGTAAAATCTCCTCCCTCTTTTCTTCATATGCATATATTCTACCGAGATACCATAGCATACCATACCTACTTACTCCACCGTGATCCTGACTACTTCCGCCTCCAAGGTCTCAGCATCTAGTAGTACGATCTCGCCTGTCTCTTCGAAACTCGGTATCGATATTAGTCTGACGGTTTGGCCGTCTGGTCCCTGGATGCTAGCGGTGTCGAAAGAGGGTTGGTTGCCGGCGAAAAAGATGTGCGGACAAGTATTGATTATGAAGGGGTCGGCGTCTTGGAATGGGTAGGACCCTTGGGTATATTAGTCTTCTTTTCTCAAAGAAAGCGCAAACTTGTTGCGAAGCGAAAGAAGGGATGTAGGGTATAACGTACAAAGAGTATCTGGTGCAGTGGGAGCACAACATCTCCATCTACACATAGCCTCCATCATCCTCAGGCGATCCTCACCTTCTACGTATTTGAATACATCATCGACATTTTGTCCGCCCGTGCCCAAAACTCTCCATCCTTCTATTTCTCCCTCCCATGGGTTCGTCACTGTGTCAAACCATCCAGCTTCTCTCTCTTCTCCGAGAACACTCGGCGCACTCCCGCAGTACGCTCTAGCCTGAGGAAACATAGCCGGATGAATAGGCTGTTGCGGCAGACTTGCATTTGCCGGATCGCTAGGTCCAGGTAATAATGTAATGGGTAAACTTGGCAATAGCTCAGCTAGGAAATTATCAAAATGGGTGGTGGGAGCGGGATTATAGGCGCTGGCATCGTAGCCGTATTTCTTTTGTGCTTTGCGTGTATTGCCCACGGTGTCGTGTGCTATGCTATCGAGATCAGAGGCAATACTGTTGCCAGCTATTATTAGACGACTTATTTTAGAGACATCGGCTTGGGAGGAGGGGTCTAGACTTTCGCCCAGGAGATATTCGGTCAGGAGAGCCTTTTCGAGCGAGTTTTCGGCGCTGGTTCCAGAGAATGAGAGGCCGGAGACGAGGGCAATCTTTTTGCGCCCTGCTTTTCCTGTATCCATATCTGTATCTGTATCCTCTTCTTCTTTCTCTCCTGATATTTCCCATCGTGGTTCCTGCGGTGGTAAATCTGGTACTTTGATATCCACTACTTCGAAATCTCCATTGGCGTTTTCTGTCCCCATTACTGCTACTATACAGCCTGTCACCAGCAGCTCTTTATTTAGTTGTCCTCCAATCAATCGCAGTCGTCCAGATTCATCCTCGAGCATTATTTCGTCTTCGCCGTCACTGGAGAGATATTTTCTTCGAGGTGGGGGTGCTGATATCCAATGCTGCTCACAGAAACAATCAGTACCTCAAGATCATGATTTCATCCTTCCCTTCTTTCCAATTGCTCAAATGGGGAAAGGAATTCCCTACATCTTTACTTATATCTTCCAAAATATTTGGTTTCAATGGCATATTCATATAGATTGTACCTGCCACCCAACATAATTCTCCTTGTCTAACATCCAACACTCTCTCTACTTTCCGCACTTCCTCCCCAGAAATCTGGAACCCATCCCAAGCGGCGCTTGCGATTTCTTCAACTGGTTTCTTCAAAGAAGTCAATCTTAAGAAGTACATGTCTCCATATTGCTGTTGATATTGTTTTGCTTTGGAGAGTGCAAATGTAGAGAGAGGTTTGTAGGACGAGGGTACTCGAGTCGGTGGTGAGGAGTGAGAAGTGCTGTATTGAAGGAATATTAGTTTCAAACTTTACATCAACTAATTTATTTGAACAATCACTTACGTGGGGCCATGCAGTAAACTGCCATCTTCTACAGGTACCGCCATGTCGTTGTTCTCAATGTCGCTACCAATGGAACTTTTGTTTAACTACGAAGTTGGGAAACGCGCAGGGAGGCGATCCGCGAATTCTCGTGTAAATTACATACACGTGATCACTGATTACATTGACTTGCAGGGCAGACAGACAGATTTTGTTATTCAAGGGACTTCTTTTCATGTTATATTTTGGAGGTAAGGACTGCCCGCAATACTAGCCAAGATACATTATTGCCATCTAAAGCATAGCCATCCAAATATGTGATGAGACTATTTTGGACGACTTCGACTAGATAGTTGAACTCGGTTGCGGGATTTGATGTTGATGATCGAAATGATGCACTGCGGTGATGTACCACCTCATGGCGCAGCACCTGTCATGCATGCTTTATCGATTGTAAGATCTTTGACTTATGAAGTCTTGAGACGGTTGAACTCGGTCACCTTGAAAGGAAAGCTTGGCCTTACGATATGAAGAATGATACTGGGCATCTTCTTGATATACTTTCAATTTCTTCAGCAGCTCAATTTCAAGCATGTCTCAAAAGGCATGAGAATGAAGTTGTCATTTGCTACATCTTAAATGCTTACTGCACTGGAGATGGACTGAAAATGAATTGAGCCAGAGTTCTTATTTCGAGACTGGATGGTTGCCTATCAATCAATTGACGATAGAATTGACAGGGTGAACTCTCCAATTGATTTGACAGGGTGACATGCTCTGATTACATTCTGGTTGTACGAACCAAGGAAACTGAACCTTGTTGAGCATTGCCACAATGCGATAGCGATTTTGGTGCAGAGGTATAAGACCGGGTCCCTTCAAAAGAAGCCTTCAAATCCCTTCACTGATTCTTGAATTTCTACAAATTCTTCCACTCTTGTTGTTGTTTTGTGCTATGGCGGAAGCCATAGGATTAGGCGCGTCAGTTGTTGCTTTTATCGGTCTTGCTGGCCAGCTCGTGCAAGGCTGCGAATATGTCCGTCAAACAATTGATAGAATCAAGCAAGCAGAGGGCGATGTCCGAGAACTTCGAAGCGAAGTGAACTCTTTTGAACTCATCATTGACAGCTTTCGCAACGTTCTCCAAGATTTGGAAACTTCTGGTGTTCAGTTGACAGCAAGTGGTCGAATGCATGCAGTTCAATCGGTTTTGGATACAGCACACGAAGCTGTACAGAATCTAATAAAATTCATTGCGACCAACAAGTTTTCCGGGAGGAAGAGGGATAAACTCAAATTTGTGTTTTCAAGAGAAACCTGCGCAAATCACGTATCCAGAATCAATAGAGTCAAGCATGACATAGCTGTGACGCAGGCTAATACAGTATTATAAGTTCCAATTAATCTACAAGAAGTCCAACTTACTCATCGGCAAAGACACCTGGAAAATCAAAAGCTTTCACACGATCAAGCCATCAAGCGGGATCTTAACTCTCTGTCCTTGAACCTCGGCGATTCTTCGAAGATTGTCAGTACGATCCCAGCACGATTGGATGAAGTGTACGTAGCTGCATGCAATGCAAAGGAAGCCGTTTCTGTTTTGAAGAGTGATCTTTGTACAAAAATCAATGACCTCTGTAACGCGGTCAATGCAATTTCAACATCGAAATTTACTGCTTCTGCTACAATAGTGTCCGAAACAGCCGGTCATGTCCATGAGGTGGTTCAAAATGCCAGTACAGCAAACGAATTCATCGAGACGTTAAAAGCCACTTCGGAGGGCTTGAGGTTACTGCCAATGGGTATACCAAAATTCGTGAAAAGCATATTCCGCTAAGTCTTGTTGGGGTCCCATCTCGAGACTAAACACAATCGAGATTTTGGGGGGGTTCAAACCTATTTTGGGAACTGGACCTCGATGATAAGTTGTCCAACAGCGTATCTTAGAAAAGAAATATTCTCGTGCTATTGGTATAGTCACTGTACAGTCTATCATTACAACCTTCAATGAATCAGATACTAATGCCTTTAACATACGGTCACTCACTATCACTCAGACAAACGTGGATTTGTTCCCAAATCCGGAGTTACTTCAGTTGGGTATATATTGCTCTATTGTTGAGCAAGGATTCGCTGTTTCGTCATTTACCCCCGAACCCGCGTTACGAGTGTACAATATAATCGACAGCCACGCTCCAATTGTCAATGCTTGCATTTCTGGTAACCTGGCAGAGGTTAGAGAGCTCTTTATAAATGGACATTCCTCACCATGTAATCGTTTGTGGGCTGAGAGATCTCTCCTGGAACTAACACTGTGCCAAGTTATCGGAATCTTCAAGTATCGATCTATTCCCCCGCAGCGCGGTATCGAAGGACTGCTGTCCGTCTTTGAGGAATTGTTGCACCATGGTCTGGATCCAGGAGTGCCAAGAATAAAGGAGGATAGAGCTGATCAATCGCCGCTCATGACCATAGCTACTTTGTCACCAACGTCAAAGTCAGATGTTGAGTTTCTGTTGCGCTTAGGGCGAATCATAATCAAGCACAGTACCCACGCTCCACTTCAAGAAAATGGCTTGGAGAACTTGGATTGGCAAGTGCACCTTGATGGATTTCGGCGTCCCGTTTATGACCTCTTAAAGACTCAGGAAGTGTGGCCTCTAGCATGGCCAACCGCGGATGAAGTCTTGAGTTGGTACTACACTCGTCTCACCCGTTGCATAAAAAGCGACCGACCACGAGTTAATATATCTCAATCATGCCCAGGTATATTTGATTAACTTCACGACGATGTTTATTTGGAACAGATAATGAACGAACTGAATCTCGACGAAAAAATCTTGTTATTCCAAGACTTAGTTGCCTCGATCAAAAGCTTACACGCGAATACGCAATTCCACAGAGCTATCTGGGTGGCGTTCCTTGGGTACTTTGAGGATTCTGGAGTACATTTCGACAACCTATCATCATCTTTCACTTCCATTTTACCAGCTCACCTTACCCTGGTTTCACGCAATCAAGAGGTTTACTTGAATGTAATCTCCCAGGCTTTGGTGGATTACGGTTTCGATGAAGATTTTGCTGCGGATCTTGTTGAGACGGATCGTTATTTTTCTTTAGTCATGCAGCTTCACTACCTCGATCTCAATTTATTCTCCTCCCCAGACATTGTTGGATGGGATTTTTCTTTCACGCTTGTTGATCCTAGAACTGAAAGGAAATACTTACTGGATTTAGCTAATAAGCAATGGGTCGCCGGTGACCGCCCGAGTACTACAAGCGTCTCTGATGATGAGTATGAGTTTGCCAACAAGTCTAGTATTGTTTCAAGCTCTCCATACTCTAAAGACGACTTTTACGATGGATATTCTCTCTCAAGTGAAGACGAGGAAGAAGGAGAAGAAGATGGCCGTCCAGATTTTTGGGAAGACAAGGACATGTTCTTGGAGCTTCTATTCTTTTCAGATAGATCTCCCATCTTATCATCAACATCAACCACATTAATGGAAGAGGAATGCATATCGCTACCAGGATTACTCAAAGACTTGGATAAAAATACTGCTCCAACAACATCTTTATTCAACGCTTCGGAAACCTCTATACTCGAAAAATCAAATTCTAGCATTTCATTAAGCCAGACGACAACCGAGCTTGTCACAGAAGAGGAAACATGCGGACTACAAGTCGCATACAACTCATTCTTTATTTGAGTTCTGTATAATGAAGCTGCAATACATATATCAAAAGTTCAAGAACAGGGTCTAAAAGGGCTAAGAATCACACATAGATAACGCCCTTTTCACAGAATTTGCTTCCTATAGAAAGCAAAGCGCGGCGGATAGTCGGAGTACAAAGCGGGGCAGGGATTATACAAAGAGACTGATGATCATGGGTTGTAGAATAGATGATATGGGATATGACTTCTCTTGATCATAATGAAGAAATGATAAATAACAATCTCATCTTTTCGGTGGTTCTATATTTGCAAATGATTCCCACGAGATTGTGATACTCTTGGTGGAATAATTCGGAGTAATTTAGAGTTCTATTATCGTCCTGAAGGTCACCTGGGATTGCAATTATTAAAGTTTAGGTTCTAGTTATGATCCAACGAGATTAAAATGCCCCCCTGTGTATAGTAACTGACACTACATTTTTCATTGAAGTAGCAAGAGTCCAAAATAACTTTTAACCTGAATGTATTCCTTCTTGTTATGTGTGTCTATTGCCTATCCTATTGAACCAGGTAATGCCCACCTAACACCAATTCTGCATGCACATATACCCAACCCAATACACCTTGCCCGACCCCCTAATACCTTTGGGATTACCTCGTAAGATTCCCATTCCCACTCCCTATAAACTAACAGTAACCGTCATACTGTTGCTGTGCACCAACAACACTGGCGGCAGGCCCCCACATAACACCTCCAAATCCCCAAGATATCCCTCACTCGCCTCCCTACTTCCACCCGTTCCTTCAACCGGACTCGGTAAAGTAGTAAAGATAACCGCCGTCTCCTCACTTTGACTCTTAATCAATTGATTCAGAATTAGATGTTGTGCTCTACAGGGTAAATCATTGAAACTAAGCGGAATAGATTGCAGAGAGTATGAAGATCGAGTCGGAGAAGGAGGATTACGGGTAGGATTAGAAGAATTGGATGCTTCGGAAATCCGGTCGAAAGAGGGAGAGGAACGATATGCGGATGGCATGCGAGGTGCGGATTTGCGAGCGGTTGGTGGAGAGGGTGTTTCAGCGAACATTATACTAGGGCCGGGGCCGTCTTCTGTGGCCACGCGGGTCATGGGAACTGGTTTTGATGAAAACTTAGGGGTTGATGTATGTCTAGATATCGGTGGTCTCTTTCCTAGGTTACGAGGTTGTAGGAGAGATGAAGATGCTGATGAATCAGGAGCGGCGGGTGACTTTTGTGAGTCTTTCAATGATTGCACAGAGTCAGGGAAGTCTAAAACTGGTGGTGGCTGAAGACCGGATGGTTGAAGTGAACGTGGTGGTGATACAGGCGCTGAAGCGGTTGGTATCGATACATCTGGTGATTTATTGAAAGTATCAATTATCGATTGTCTTGTAGATTTCGAAATCGTAGGAGGAATTGGCTCCTCTGCTCCTGCTGCACGCTTAGATATGGGGGGACCACGTAAGCTATCGCCATGGCTTCTTCTTCGTGCAATTGGTTTGAGATCTCCAGCATGGGTATCGCTATCTGATTCAAAATCATCGAGGTCTCCTTCACTCGCTGCACTTTCGTCATCAGATTCCGGCTCCTCAGTCTGGAGTTCGGAATCACTATCGGAATCTTCGCTAGCACTTCCTTGACTAGCATGTCTGCTCATAACATCGGGCTCTAATCTCTGAGATCGCATACCCATACTAACACCTAAGCCTTTCAGATTACTCATATTCTGTCGTTTCTTTGATTTTCTTAGCAGTCGTCGGAGTCCAAGAAATCGTTCGGCCTAAAAAAAAACATTTCAAGATCAGGTCAGTTGTCATCAGAAAATAATGAATGTACAAGGATATGAAAACAAATGAACATTCATAAGTACAAGAGGTAGATCGAGCGAGTACTTACATTATTATACCGTGCACCTTGTTGAAATGATGCGTCCGGCCAAGTTGGGGCAGCATGAAATATGTTCGTTATTTGAGCCAGATCTACCGCGGCAGATGTGGTAGCTCCATGATTCCCACGAAGCTTCTGTATGTCATCCCACCAGTCTTGTCCCTTAAGACATTGTTCGACCTCATCAACTTGATTGGAGCCAGGGGTCGCACCATTGATGATGATCTCATAGGATGGAATATCACCTGATGCCAACCAGAATACAAGAATTTCAGCTTCAATGCGCAGATTTTCGAGTAGAGATTTTACCCTGCCTCTTTCTTCTTCCACGTCGTTTTCATATTCAACAAATACAGCCACGCGGAGTTTGTATGCTTTTTTCCAAGCAGGTACAGTGTTTAAAATGACACCAAGCTGGAGGATCAAAGTGTCTATTGCTATTGTTAGCTACCTCACAGATCTCAAAAGAAGGGAACTTAGAAATTGTGTATCCTACAAGTATCAAAATTGGTGGTCAAAACATTCTGCTTCACATCTCCTTCAGCTGCGATTTCAGCAGACATCTGGATGGGCCAAAGATCAATATACTTCTTGGTGTTCTCAGTATCTGGCAATTCCAGATCTCGAAAACCTTTGGCCACAGCAACGTTGATTTGCAGTTTGAAGAGTAGATCTTCTAAGATAGTGACATAGCTTGTTACGCTCATCATGCCTTCAGTCCGGCATAAATCAGTTGGGAGCACTCCTTGCATCTTTTTCTCCCTACTGTTCTGACGCCTGTAACGAGGTGGTGTCTTGAGTTTGTTAACATTGCCCGATGATGGTTCAGATGGCTCCGAAATGTCTATCAATGGCTGAGCAGTTCTAAGGTCATCTAAATTGTAGAACCCCATAACTGCGATATTGGGTCGCATTCCTCCTAGACCTGCGTTGAGAATAATATTGCGAGCACCCCATTCTAGAGCCGGAGATATGGCAATATTGACGAATGCTTTGATCTTTGAAAAATCAATATATTTGTTCCACGCTGCTTGCTGGCGACGCTACTCTCAGTAGTCAGTAAATGTGGCTTAAATGGTACGACTTATTCCCATGGTTTATGAAGCGTTGAAGCTCTACTTACAGCCTCTGGCACGGATTGGCTGAAATCATCTGTCACGATAATATGACCAAGAATATACAGACCACCCTTCTTCATGGAGTTGCAAAATTGAATAAGCTTGTATTGTCGGCGTGGGTCATTTACAAGTAAAATGACCTGAGGGCGCCAAAATTTGACATGCTCCTGTTTAAGCTTAAGAAGGTATTTTCGAATTTGATGATAGATCAAACTTTGAGATACGTCTCCCCAACTCTTTGGCTCTACGGAATAATGTATAAGAAGGAATAGCAGAAGGAGCATGCCTACACATCCCGTCGCATATACTCCGTCCACAAAGAACATTGCGACCCCTGACAAAATCGCTCCTGCAAAAGCAGTCTGCCAGTTGAAGAAATGAAAACTGGGACGCCAATTAGGCGCAGAACCGATTGAAAGGAGGAAGCAGGCTAGATTCATGACCAGAAAGGTCATCTAACAATATTAGCTAATGCTACTCATAACAGTTCTTTAGTATGAAAATGAGACTCTGGCCACTGTTGCACTCAAAACATACAAACGAATATAAAATAACATAAAAAGATGGGTGTGAATGACAGATGTATACATCAAAACACAATGTCACGCATCAGGCCAGCGCAATTGTTGATGCAATATGCAATTGAAATCAGAGAGAGGGTGTAGATAAGGGGAGTTCGTAGTCTCGCATAGTTTCGCTAAATCGTACTTACAAGATAAGTCATTGTTACAAAACTGGCGATTTGATTGAGGTCGCCCAGCATTGTAAATTGGGTAACAATGAATGTAAAGATGATGGCAAAAGTAGGTTCATCAGCTTTCTTAGTTCCCTGGCTAAATATAGCAAACCCAGGTAGCAGGCTATCTCTTGATATTGCTTGAAGAAGCTTTGCACTGCCAATAATTCCCATGAGCACGGAGAACAAGCTAGTGGACACTTCCCCTGCCAGGATTAACAACCCTGACATGTTTGTCTCTTGAAGCACATTCGTGTTTCTGAGAAAAGATGAGCGGGTCACTGTGGCAGCCATGGCTACTATGACTAGAGTGTACAAGCAAAAAGTTGTGATAAGGCCATACACAGTTCCTTTTGGGATGGCTTTGCTCGGAGACCTCAAGTCACCACTCATGCTTGCCCCAGCGAATATGCCCCCTGTTGCAGGAAATAAGATCCCAAACAGATCCTGAAAAGTCTCTCGTCCATTGATTTGACTGCCAGCGGCACCTTTAGTAAGCTGAGGCAGAAGATTCCCAGATAGTGTTTGCAAGCTAATGCCCGTGTATTCAATACCTAAACTCCGACTTTCGAAAGGGCTAACGACCAATGTAGAAAGCGGGATGCTCAATGTGGCGATGAAAAGAATAACCAGTAGCCCATTACTAGCTCTCGCAAAGATCCCAGATCCGGCCAAGCATAACAGTGTACACAGAACGAGTATCACGGTAGACCAAAGGTAGCAATACCAGTTTGTTTCAGGCAAGATATGAGCCCAATTGCCATGGTCGGCACCGAAATTTAGCGTGATACAGTCGATAAGACCCACGGCGTTCATTCCAGTATTGAAAACGAAGCCCAGATAAAAGACGAGTCCAATTGAGCCTCCAAATTCTGGACCCAAAGAACGAGATATCAAGTAATATGCACCACCTCCGCGCACTGTCCCATTCGAGGCAATCGCAGAAAGAGAGAAGGTGGTGATAAAATTGATCACGTATGACGCGACAAGCATACCTTGGGGTACTGTCAATGTGTGTTATGGTCTTGTGCATTCAGAGACTTACCTATCATGCCCAACAACCCACTTTGTCCTAGAATAAATCCAAATCGCAGGAACATCAAAATGCTCAAAACATTGAGACATGTTGGCACGTACACACCGGAAAACATCCCCAGCTTCTCTTGTCCACCAATTGGTCGAGGTCCCAGCCCTGATCTAGAAATCGCTGTACCATTCTTCTTCCGCTCTGCCTCATTATGTATTTGGCCAGTCAATGAATTTTCTCCCATGGTACCAGCAGAGTATGGATCTTGCTGCTGCTCCTCTTGAGGGTCCGGCGGTTGGTCGTTGTTAGTTACATCGCTAGAAAATCTGTCTAACATTTGATGTGTTAAGGAATTTCCGTTGCCAATGTTGGATTCACTAGCAGGAGCTTCACCCTCACACTGGGTTCCATGCTTGCTGGTGCTAGATTCGCCGATGCTGTCAATTCCCTGGCCCGCATTGGGCATTCTCAATTTATTGATAGTAAAACCAATGGCAATATCAATGTCCACCTCCAAATCAATATGTTAATTTAGGTAGAGAGATAATGCCATGTACATAAGTATGTATTTTCATATGCTCATTAGCAGATACGAGATCTAAGAGTTGGTGAAGCCAAGAACAAGGATATTGCCGTTCGACGTCATGTGGCAGGGCAAGGGACACAGGATACAACAGCGAGATGATTGCTCAGAATGAGTTTCGAACAAAGGGAGATTCGAGAGAGCGAGGAAGGAAGAAGACGAGCAGAAGGAAAGGAAAGAGTTGAACGACTTATTGTTATCATTTGTCCTTGTTGTGTAAGGTTCAAAAATGGCTCATATGAAATTCATCCGTCCATACTTTATCATTAGGTATTTACTTTGCCTCAGCCCATAGGAATGAGAGATCATTGCCCAGATAGATATCTTGGTATATAATACTATTTCATTACTCGTATTGTTTTATATCATTCAATAGACCAATCGAAATATCGTGCAAAAGGCATTTCAATCTTGGATCTCAATTGGTTCGTTATTTTCGGGGTCTTGTTACTCGCTGCACCTCCCCCGATTCGTTAGATGTTGATGTTGGATGTTTGAGATTCTCAGACAAGACAAGGGCCATTTTATGTATCTTGCAAGATAGCCGGATAGCTTGGTGTGAGCTGAAGATGAGAATGAGATAGGCAGGTGACAACATAATAACATCGTATTCTATCAGAAATTTGTTTTGATTTTCATCCTTGGTAAGTAATCCTACGACGGCATATGAAATATTCACCGGCTCTGTTGTCATCTACTGTATATCGAGGCTAACGAAATTCGCCGAAGAAGATTTCCATCTTCCCCATCCTTCATAGGTTGTCTTACCAGGATTATTACAATACGGCCATTATCATGAGATAAGACCCAGCGAATTGCTGCTCTTTGATCAAAATACATCTACTACCTTCTTCACCGACCTCATCTCATATCGTCATGTCGACTCCTTCCTCTTCACGACCTCTGCCAGTTCCGATGAGTTCGTCACCATCACCAGGCTCATTTAGAGGGCGGTCGGGAAGTCCGTCTTCAAGAGATAAATCAACAGCCCGATTAGCTTCACCAGTACCTTCCCATCACGGCACTCCACAAGTTCGACAGATACCTACTCCGAATCAGGTCGCCGCCGCAGATTCATCTGAGAGTATTACTCCTCTCCCTCTGGCTGGCGCAGGTGGCCCAGCATCTTATGCGCCCGGTCCAGGTATCAGCGCGTTGGCTGCTGCGCTGTCGAATTCTATCGGGCAGACTCCTCCTACCTTTGGAACACCTCCCATCCGTTCATTATCACCAGCCGCTGCCGGTAAACAAATACAAGGTACAGGAGCGCATAGCAATTATGGCTCTCTTCCGCGATCGGTACAAGGAGGGCAAGGATGGGCCGGTCCGACAGCCTACGAGGACCCAGAAATTATAAAAAGACATTTGGTACAACAAGGGCCTTCGCAGCTAGGAGGTGACGGTGCCGCTGATGGGATATTTGGCCCAAGCGGACAGTCACCATCATTCCGTGTCGGCTCTCCAGCTAGTACATCAAAACAGGCAGTTGAAACTATAGCACCTGGGCTAGATGATGATGAATTTTCGAGTCTGCGATTACAAGGTGGTGACGTTACCAGACCCATATACAGATGGACCGAAGATGCTCACAGAGCGAGCCGATCTCAGAGGAGTAAGAGCTTTCACATCTCGCGACCAGAAGCAGAGAACGAAGTTCTTGACATAGGCACAATCAAATTGCCAGGTGGATTCAGACGAAATTATCTACGTCGAGCAGCAGGCAGCCCAACTCCTGACGGCATAGATGTCGAAGAAGGCGGAGGACTCGCGCAAAGACAGCCAAAAATATTTACCAACAACTTCCTCGAGTTTCTCACCATCTACGGCCATTTTGCTGGTGAAGAATTGGAAGAAGACGATGAGGTACTCGGACCTGACGAATACTTTGGATCGGATGCTATCTCTGATGATTATGGTGAAGGCAGTGATGAGGATAGAGAGCCTATGGAGAATAGTGCTCTGCTTACACCTGGTCGCCGGAAAAGAAAGCGCAAGGAGCGCGCACCACAAGGAACAACTACACCTTTTCAAGCCTCGTTGCTGTTGCTTAAATCTTTTGTGGGTACCGGCGTGTTATTCCTACCTAAGGCGTATCTCAACGGTGGAATGCTTTTCAGTAACATCATCCTTCTTCTTGTCGCAGCTTTGAGTTATTACTGCTTCGTGTTACTCGTCAACACGCGACTAAAGGTTGAGGCGTCTTTCGGAGATATGGGAGGTGTTCTCTACGGGAGATGGATGCGAACAGTCATTCTTGCATCGATTGTCATCAGTCAGATGGGGTTTGTGGCCGCATATATCGTATTCACGTCAGAGAATTTGCAAGCTTTCATAGCAGCTGTGACCAATTGTAGAGTTCACTGGGAGGTTTCATGGTTGATCTTGCTACAAATGGCTATTTTCTTGCCATTCTCTCTTTTGCGCGACATCAGTAAGCTCGGATTTACCGCGCTCATAGCAGATGCCTTTATTCTTGTTGGCTTAGTATATCTCTACTACTACGACATCTTCACAATCGTGAAACAAGGTGGTATTTCTGACATCGTCAATTTCAACCAGCAAGACTGGACGTTGTTCATTGGCACCGCCATCTTTACATTCGAAGGAATTGGCTTGATCATCCCTATTCAAGAATCCATGAAGAATCCTAAGAAGTTTCCTCCTGTTCTTGGTATGGTCATGATCATCATCAGCGTAGTATTCATCTCTATGGGTGCTCTTTCTTACGCTGCATTTGGTTCCCATGTAGAGACAGTTGTTCTTCTCAATCTCCCACAGAACGACAAGATGGTCAATGGTGTTCAGTTCCTCTATTCGTGCGCCATTCTTTTGTCAACCCCTCTACAAATCTTCCCAGCCATCAGAATCACGGAGAATGAGCTCTTTACCAAAAGTGGAAAATACAACCCTTATATCAAATGGCAAAAGAATGTTTTCCGCTTCTTCGTCGTTGCCCTGTGCGCATCCATTGCATACGTTGGCTCTAACGATTTAGATAAATTCGTTTCGATTGTGGGAAGTTTTGCTTGTATTCCACTAGTATTCATATATCCGGTATGTTCTCTAATTTCAATGACAAAATCCACTTCGTTACATACTTTGATCCCCAGAATTGAGAGGCTAACCTTTTATTAGCCAATGCTACATTATCGAGGTGTAGCCAAAACACGTTTCCGCAAAGGGGCAGATATCATGCTTTGTATCTTTGGCTTGGTAGTCATGGTATATACTACGGGCTTGACCATCATCAGCTGGACGAACGGTGGTGATAAAGTTCCAAACGTTGGATATTGCGATAGAAAAGACAGGGCAGGAGGAGAATTGCCATTGTTCTAAATCACATACACGGCTTGATCTCACAAGTAGTGGGAAGACAAAGGGCTGTGCTTGTACGCATGTATAAACTGAATACATACATACATATGGATGGGGCATTCTTTTGTCGTTTTTTTATGGTACTAGATCTTTTAAGTTTTTTCGGATGGTCTGGCTGGATTGGGTGCATAGCGTAACATTGCACTGGAAATTGATATCTCTTAGTTTTTCTTTTCGTTCTCTTTTGTCTTTGTTTTACAGTTATAAATGTCAGGATCAGATTGTTATAATATTCAGATTGGCTTCAAGGCTTCCGTTACATTTGACAATGGATTGTGCCCCTCGCTTGTGGGTGTGCTATTCACCATAAAACCTCACAAGTGAGCTCATTTGGTTCGCATAAGAAGTTACCATTATCCGTAGAAATCTTCGAGTTCGATTCTTGAATGTGGTTGTGGGAGCAAACTTTTAAATCTCGTTCACGTGAAGCAGGGCTTCACTAATTCTCAGGAGTCTTTCAACCTTGCCTGCTGCTTCTCTTCACTTGCTAATCTACGTTAGCATGACTACTGTCTTTTGGCTTACGTCTTTCTTACATGCTAAATGACATGCAATCAATTAACATTCGTTCCGATTAGCAGATTCTCAGACTGCTCCTAGGGCATACTATCCATTTGCGGCCTTTGCACAAAGAGATGAACTCACAATGCCCTAGTTCTTGAACCCCTTCTCACAAAGAGTAGCGACAAATCATCAAAGGTAGCGTCTTAAATGCCAAACAAACGAGCGATTGTGCTATGTTCAGATTATATGTCTCGCGCATTCAAGAGGTATCAATGCCTTTCTGCTATTACCCATTGCTGTCAAACTCATACGTATTTCCAAACTAGCTTGAGCTTTTTATCTTGAACATACATAAATAATCATGGCTGGTGCACCACCACCACCTCCTCCTATACTTCCACCGGGCCTCCCAGCGGGAACCCGTAAGTATAATCGTTCTTTTTGCTGCATATCGCTCGGTTCTAATGCTAGAATCTAAGCCTACGTTTTATCTCCCACATTATTTTCACTCCGACTACTCATTTGATTCCACCTTCCCTCCCCACTCCTCCCTTAAAACGCCAAAACTTACCTTCCGATACAGTAATCAACGGCGCTCCAGCAAGCAGAATCACCGCCTCCATGAACACCCTTTCCCTACTCCCCGTCCTCCGCAACACAACTATGCGTCTCAATCGCAACCTGCTCGTCGCACCCCGTCGCATTTTAAACGAAGAAGCATGGCTAGCAACCCAAGTCGGTACTCTCCAAGCACAACATTGCACTAACTGCAGGAAGGGAATTGGACCGTTTACCGATTGTGTGGTGGCCGATGGCCATTTCAAAGAGGCGTGTACGAATTGCTATTGTGGGGGGCAGGGGGCAGATGTTCGTTGAGACATGGTATGTTTGTGTTCTTCTTTCTTCTACCTTAAAACTGGAGGAGGAAACATTGAAGTTGAAGCTAACTTTGGGAATAAATAGAGCATCAAGCCGATGCCGAAGACGCTCCTGACATTCCGGGCATGGCGCCTGCGAATAATTTCGGTGGTCAGATTGGTGATTTGGCAGGAGTGGCCGTCGGTATTGCTCAGCAGGGTATTGGTGCTATTATTATACCCGCGCAAGGAGTGCCTCCTGCAGCGAATGTTCCTCGTGGGGGAGGGACCAGTGGCCCAAAACGTATTGCGCCGTTACTGGTGGGACCGGTGGGTATTGGGTTAGCTGGTGCAGCTGCGGCTGCGGGGGCCGCGGCGATTTTAGTGGCCCCGCAAGGCCCTGGCATATTTGGAGGGGCGAACGCATCGAGAGCGCGTGCTGCTAGAGGTTTGAGTGATGCAGAGTTGGAGGCGCACAGAATTAGGTTCAGCGCCGAGTTGGCGAGAGCTTCTGCTGAGTTGGATGCTGTTAGGGGAGAGCAGATTGATAGAGAGGCGTTGGGAAATAAACATGAACATGAACATGAGGAAGAGAAAGAGGAAGAGGAAGAGGAAGTCGCTGCACCACTAGTCAAAAAGCGGAAGCATCCAAAGAAGATAAAGAAATAAAAATGTACAATATATAAGAGTTCAACGACTAGAGATTCGGACAAGAGAGGATTTGGGGCTGTTAACTTGGAGTATGAACAGTTAAGAATGATGATATCAAGTTTCATCTTGCTACTGTCTCATTCTGCTTTCTCACATACTTCCAATTTCCTTGATCTTTCTCTTCACATCCTTTTCTATGCTGCTCGCCCCAAAATCTTCAGTCGCACTGTTCTCTCAATTTATGGAATTAGAAAGTAATTTTTTTATTGCAGGTAGACGTTTTTGGTTATGCAAGACAGTATTAGTATATCCAAAAAAACATCAAATGTTTGCATCATGAGAACTGATAAATACAAAGCAGCCACCCTTCGCGAGACTATATACTGAAAAGAAATTCGTAAAACTGCATGAGATGGAACCACATGGCCAATCTCCAATTCCCATCCGAAGCTTTGATTTAGAAGATCATAGGGCATTTAAAGCTCATGATATCCATCGTGCTTCACAAACGACTTGATCCCTCTCTAATCAACTTTCTCATCCCCTCCCTCACTTCGATAACAATATCACGAGCATCCATGGTCTCTCGAACCAATCCAACGCCACTGCCAGCGTATGTACACAATCGTCCCTTATTTCCATAGCCTTCATCCCCTCTTCTCGCCTCGTCTTCATAAAGTTCTTTATTCTGCTCCATACTCATACCGTTCGCTTCATCCCAGTAGCTTTTGTTGACTACTCCTCTTCCATTATATTCTTCAGGCCAGCCTGCTGTTCCTCTTAATCTATCATAAAGGGTTGTTCTCGTGGTTGATACACCGCCATCTTCCGCTGCCAATACTGCATTTCGGTAGCCCGTCGGTATCACTGCTTCAGAAGAAGCCAAAAATCGTGTACCCATGCATATTCCACTAGCACCCAACATAAACGAAGCTGCTGCTCCACGTGACTCGACTATTCCACCAGCAGCAATGAGAGGTATGTGTGAATATGCGTTTGAACGTAATGCAGATGCGCATTCAGGAAGTAGGGAAACGATCGAGGAAGAATGAGCGAGACCGTGGCCACCAGCATCAGAACCTTGAATAACGAGTACATCAGGATCACAAGAGTGAGCGGCTACCAGGGCAGAAGACACGGTGCCGACTTGGATCCAAATCTTGGTAAGATTGCCTGTGAGCTTCCGGATTGAATCTGTCCACTCCTGCAAATCCGAGCTAGTATGCGGCGCGAACAACCATACCGCTGCAGGGGGGAATGGAAGGGGAGCGAGAATTGACAGGACATGCTCGAGATCACAACCCCAGACTATAAACCCTATCCCTATAGGAAGAGTATCTCGATAGCTTCCGGGAATAGGGTAATCTGAGAGAGAATCTTGGATCTCTCTGATTTCGTCCGAAAGGGTGGTGAGACTGGATGGTTTCTGGTATTAGTTTAGGCATACATGAAATTGTGCATAGCGTAACTCAGACTGAGATAGAGAAGAGGCCAAGTTGTAATGAATAAGAACATATTGTAATGAACAATCGCTGGATAGTATACTGTCCCAACGCTCGGTGGTCAAGAGTATCAACTGTCTATCAATGGCATAAAAGTGGAGTATGATAGACACGGTACATGATCCAGATAGCTCTCCTCTTAGTGAGCCCTTCTCGTTTATACTTATTCTGAGATCTTCTCTGGAAAAAGCAGTGATTTGCGCTGAGAAGCAAATATAAAGAAAAAGGGTTTAGCTCACTCGTGACCAGCAGCAAGGAAACCTAGACCACCAGCTCTAGAAACAGCTAAAGCCAAAGCAGGCTTTGATATTAAGCGCATAGGAGCAGATGATATAAGCGGATAAGTTGTCCATGGATAGTCCTTACGGAGCGTTTGTTTGTGGTTAGAATGTGACATTATTCGATATGATCCAGATTTCCTGTAGCTGGTAGATGCGAAGTGATTGGAATCAATGCAATTTTCGATGTCTGAGGATGATACGGAGAAGCTGGAGGGACTTGAAGATGGAGAACAGGGGATATCTATTTGGATTTCATGTACAGCGCGATAACAAAATAAGAACTATGCTGAAGGTATCTTTTGAAACGTATTGTGTGATTTTGAAACAAATATGAAGTGATAAAAAACACTCATAAATACTTTATTTTGCAAAAGAAAAGAAAAATGATGCGGTCGGTCGATGGGCTAGATTGTTGACTTCACAAATGAAGAGGAGGCTGAAAGAGGCTGGTGTGAGCCTCGGCCGCTTCCACAATGTCCCACTATACCCAATTTGCATTAGCTCATCCTTAGTCTTGGCATTATCTTTGTCACCAGCTTCACAAGTTTATATCTTCACTGTCACTGCCAAACTTACAACAACGCTGCTTCTTACTGGTCCTGCCATAGCTCCTTCCATTCTTTCTTGCACAACGTATCATATCTTACTCCAATTGCAATACCAGCTTTAATCTTCAGACGAGCACATTATACCTTGAAATACATTGTAAGTTCTTTCCAATCTCTAGCAAAATCCACAATGTCAAAATAGGCACAAAGAAGAAATGATCAAAAAGAACAATTACTAAAGCAATCATGGCCGCCTTAGGAAACATGTCTAACGCGCCTGAGAGGTATATCTTATCTCCATAGCTTTTATAGCTATATGCGCCCCGCGCGACGATGAAGGATAGAAGCTAATCATACACAATAGATTCGAGTTATTCATTCTTGGAGATGGCGAGAAGAAGTGTACTGAGGAAGCCGATACGCGTAAGTCGTAGATTAATTGCGCAAATGGGCTCTTCTACAGCAGATTATGCTAATGAACTATTATCCAGGCACCCCCAACTCCTCGATTTTTACCTTCAATAAAGAAGACCACACCCTCGCCAACATGCTGCGTGCTCATTTGTTGAAAGATCCGCATGTTATATTTTCTGGTTATAAGAGTACGCCTACCACACTGTTAGCACAGTTCCATTATACCAATGGCTAGCCAGGCTTTTTGGAAATTCTTTACTAATTGGAGGCGCATAGTTCCTCATCCCCTCTTTTCTAAATTCGAACTCCGAATCCAAACTGATGGTGAGATAACTCCCAAGGAGGCTCTTGTCGCCTGTTGCCGTAACTTGGTATCCGAACTTGAGGTTTTCAGCCGCGAATTTACAAAGGAGTTTGAGTTACGAAAGATGGTCAGCGGTGATGTCGCAGCTGCCGACAAATGATTCACTATATAAAAGGACAACTATCTGGAATTAGGAATTGGGGCGTTTTCGGCAGAGGAAGGGAGGTAGTATGGCGCAAAATGGTATGGGGTCTTGAGGTTCCATCATGATCTGGGTTGATTACATGGAGCTACACAGTGGATATCAATTCCTCAGGGAGGAATGCCCGCCAATTTGCATTGACATTCAAGTATTTCAGCAATCGCAAGAGATATGTTTTCCTACACTGGATCATCTATGAGTCAGTAGTCTATGAGGTGAAATAAGTGCGCGCTTCGTGCTTGAAGAGGAAGCCGGCGCGGCGTCTCTAAAGATAATCATTCAAGCTGAAACTGGGAAAAGAAAGGTGATGGATCCGTGGCTCTGCAGGCACACACATATGTGCGGCTTTCCGATACAATTACTGCTGGTCATGACTAACAATAAGTGCAACAGCAAAGGTCTATCTTCCCTATGTAGTCCTTACCTGTTCTTCATGAATCCGAGTCAAAGATTGAAGACCAGTACTACTCTGTTCGTAAAGTATACTCGCAGACACCAGTGGACATTGGCCTATCCGATTCAATTCATTGGACTCATATCTGAGAATTTCGCCTGTAGTACAATTTCTTTTGCAACCAATGGTCTTTGGTATAGCAACAAAAACGCGAGGGCAGGTAGAAACAAGTATAAGTGCAAATATGTTACCACGAGTACCCAGGTACTTTCATACATGCACAAACACACCTAGGTATCGAAACCATCAAGAATGACGAGGAAATTATGTACTACTACTGAACGACAATGGCTGGATCACGTATCATGGAATGTATCTACATTGTGGAATGCACCAATGCACGTAATTATTTCCTCCGAGATATGTTGACACAGTTAAGTCGCGGTTCAACAAGGGATCTAATTCGGACCTTTTGACATGCGTCAAATTGCATTCCATTTAAAAACGGTGAATGTCATGTTGGTTTGTTTCCTCTCTTTCGACATTCGGATCCCCTCGCCCTCAATTAAGAAGACACACGGAAAACGAACTTCCTATTAAGGATTTGCTTCCTCTACAGAGCCTCACACTCAGTTAAGAATGCTGGCAACACACCACTGTTTTGAAGTCAAGGTGGAGGTCGTGGCTGGCTCTGATACTTTTTGATGAAGAAGAAAAGAAAATTGTTGCGCAAAATTTGAATATTTGTAGCCGCAGTGGTGATCTGCGCTAATTACTAAGCGAAAGGCAGAGTTTGCTTTTTGATCTAAGCCTATTTTAGGAAAATGAGATTATTTGACACGTGATATCGCGATTGTTACCACAGATTGATCCAGATTTCATTCCACGGATGGGCGGCTACGTAACATGTCAAGATTTTCTCTTTGCATTCCGATCTTTATCTCAGTGCGCCATGAGCAGGAATCTCTTTATTGTAGTCTTTTGTGAGTGGAGATTTGTAGTTCCTCCACTCCACACCTTACTTGCTCAGATCACATCTTAACCAGTGTTGAGCATTCATACGTCCCAGCAAGTTGGTAATCCCTTTAAAGAATTCTTCGGTCTTAATATCTGTAGTTATGATTGTTATGCTCAGCGTCGAGGTTGATACTCTTCCGTGAGATGGTTGCTATGAGCATGGGTTGGTGGTTATCATTCCACCTCGTCATTCAAACAATATCGAAATTATGCGTGAATTTCGTTAAAGTATTTGTTTCATCTTCTATGTTAAAAGAGTTGCAGCTCTCCATTTGAAAAATTGCTGACGGGAAAGACATATACGGTTCTGACTTGGAGTGAGCCATCCAGTGGACGAAGATGCTTCTAGGGCGTTCAGATGCTTCTTAAATCCTTCCTGCTTCTACGCCACATTTGAAAGTTATCATTCCTCACTACTGGAAAAGGGAAGTTTTGTCTTCTGCATTCTTCCGCGTCTATGTTGTATGTACAATTAATACACACATGGCGCGAAGGGCTTTCTCGATTACTGCGATATCTTAATTCCAGAGATCAATGTCTCGAGTTGGCTTTCAGCTCCCGGTGTTGAACTCAGGTATGAGGCTTTCAAATGCGGGGAATGTCAAGATCGTGGAACACTTTAAAAGAACATACATATAGCCGAGGACATCGCCACTTTTGGTGATATGACTCTCTTTGAGTCGTAGATTTAACAATGTTCTCCATGTCTACACGGTTGCTTCTTTTGGCAGTGGCGGTAGCGGCCTTCCTTGATGTTGAAGATGATTTCGAAAACAATGCAACTGCCAAAGTCTTACCAAACCGGATGGTTTATGATGGAGTTTTTCAGCTAGGAGTGACGAAAGTTGCGGGAGTTCCAAACGTTCGAAAACGACAATCCAAGTCAAATTTGGCGAACCCTTACATTGGAGATATTTATATGATCACCGGTAAATCATTCCAAGAGTAGCCTCGATTGTGTTGTCTAATCATAAGTAGTACAGATTGGGTATCCTCCACAGTCTATAACCCTCAGTATCGATACAGGGAGCAGTGATGTTTGGGTGAATCCGCAGTGCGCTACCTCGGGGTGGGCATCATTTTGCGCCGGTTATCCTCAGTATGATCCTACGAAATCTACATCTTTCGTACCGTTGAGTCAAGCCTTAAATATAGCATATGGTATAGGTGCAGTCACTGGAGCTTATGCGACGGACAATTTTATGTTGGTGAATATTCCAGTTTTCTAGGTGCTTATTGACAAAGTTTAGGATGGGGTCAGGTCCGACCCTTAAAAAACTTCAGTTCGGTGTTGCATCAGGTAGTAATCGAATGTTTGCGGGTATAATGGGTGTATCCTGGGGGCTTGGCCTTGGAACTGGTTATTACAATATTATTGATCAACTCGCCTTGCAAGGTCTGACAAAAACTCGCGCATTTGCTATTGACTTGGGCAATGTTGATACAGCTTCAGGTATGACTTTCAGGTATCCATGACTGCACTGGTTGACTCATTTTATAGGCTCCATTATCTTTGGCGGTCTCGATACAAAGAAGTACTACGGTTCACTCATTAAAAATCCCATTATACCATTTTATCAAAGTCCTGATGGGTATCCAAGGTAATTGCTTTTTTGACTTTCGTCCTGCGTAGAGGATGGTCTTACTGAACAGTATTGAAATTAGATACTGGATCAATATGACGTACTTTGGTATTACATTTCCAGGTCAGCTACCGACGAATTTGACATCTCCCGGTTATGCGAAACCCGTCATTGTTGACTCCGGAAGTACATTGAGTTATTTGCCACCTTCACTTATCAACGCCATGCTCCCTTATTTTCCAGGATGGGTCAGTAAAGGAGGTGGCCTCTACACTATTCCTTGTAGCTTCAGAAATATCGCAGGGACGATGGATTTCGGATTCGCGGGGCAGATTATCCGGATCCAATTAGCTCAATTTATATGGTTCAATGGTGCTACATGCTATGGACCAATTGCCAATGCTGCCGAAAAGACGGATGTGATTTTAGGAGATACCTTCATGAGAGGTGCTTATGTGGTGTTTGATCAGGACAACGCAAATGTCCACATTGCACAAGCTGCGAGTTGCGGATCGAATGTTGTACCCATTACTTCGGGTACCGATGGAGTTCCTTCAATGACAGGAGGTTGCCCGAGTCCAGCATTTTCTTATGGAACATCATCTTATACGGTTAGTAGTTGTCTGAATCTTTCGCAATAATATATTGATATCAATACCTTGAATCAAGATGCTAATATGAAAAAAGGTCTATCCAACTCCTTCGGCGAGAATCTCGTCTTCTTCGTCCACATCTTTTTCGTCCACATCTTCTTCATTCACATCTTCTTCATTCACATCTTCTTCAAGAAGTAAGTATTCAATTTGACTTTGCGCTCTCAACCAAAACGGCAGATATTTATTTACAATACAGATTTTCCCCTTTCAACCTTACATTAGAGCCAACACTAACTCGAAATATTTAGGTTCCACAACCTCATCTGCCTCCCTTCCCGCATTGGTAATTACTTCAACGACATCGCCTCTCGCCACTTCAACAACTAGACCTTCTACCACTTCATCCTCTACGTCAACAGGTAGAGTTTCTACCCTTCCAACTTCCTCTTCATCAAAAACCACTTCGGTGAGCTCTTCCCCCACAATAATAACAACGAGAGCCGCTGCCCTTTTATCCTCTTCTTCATCCTCTACATCAACAGCTAGAACTTCCACCGCTCTGTTATTGATGACCACCTCGACGAGCACTTCTCTCGCATTAGCAATAACGAAGTCTTCTACCCCTTCGTCTTCTACGTTAACTACTAAATCTTCATCCTCGTCGCTGGCACCTGCACTGATTGGCTCTACGACTACGTCCACGACATCCACCAGATCTTCTTCGCTTTCTTCCTCTCGTTTTTCATCTTCATATATATCCTGCGGCATAGGTTGTGGACCGACGACCACTGTGTATATTACCGTTACAAAGTCGGTCTGAAAGTGATGTGAATGTTCAATTTATTCTGTTTCGATTCTGGATGGGAGATGTAAGCATGGCCCGGTATAACGCATCATGAATAGGTTCATTATGATACGATTGGGCAGGTTGGACTCGTTTTCTGCTTAGGCGCCTGTATTGTGTGGTTTATTATATGGCGAGACACTGGACAGCCTACAGTATACGAGGGCAGCTGTCCAGGGAAAAGATGACTGGCCCGCTTATGTCGAAACGCAATCGGATCATATGCGAGTAGCGAATTCGGTTTAAAGCTAGTGGGTTTGGACCTTTTGATGGATATAGAGGGTAGAAGAATTTAGAATTATCTTTTCCGTCTATGTGCTTGTTGGTCTATCAATATCAGTGTGAAATTGTTGTTATTCGTCCAATCTAGTCTAGTGTATTGAGCAACGTTCCATTATTCCTTGTGAGATTAGCAAACAAAGGGTTTCAGTCTAGGCTTCAAAATGCCTCGATTATACCGGAGATGCGTTCGAACGCTTCTTGTGATCCTGCAACTCTGTGAGATTTATTTCCCGATGGATTGTCAAGGTCGATATGTAGGCCTACTTCAATTGCCACACCGCAGCCACTTCACACAAGGGGAAGAACTGTTTGATCATTTGGTCCTAAAATATATATAAGTAAGATGTATACTGAGATTCTAGAATAGAGTAGGGCTTATGAGCCACGCAAGTCCAACAATTCTTATGATTTGAAATTCATATCCGCCTGGAATCTGGTGCGAAAAAACCAAGGGAAACGACTATTTTCTGAAAACCGGGTGCCATATAAGTGCGATAAATGCGACTACCAACTGTTGATGTTACATGCTCACTAGAGCCAACATACACGAGTGCATTCGAACAAGGGTTGGTGCAATCTTCTTCGCTCTTGTAAATAATGACAAATAACGATGCCCTCCAGTCTGCCGCATCCCGTTGCTTCGACATCGCTGGAAGTCAACATATGGTAAGAGGTCACGAAGCTTCCGCTGACTACATGGACTTATATCCCCGTTATAACAAGTTGAGTTTGTAGTATAGCCACTACCTCCAGTACTTTCTTTCTCAGAAGCTTTGCTATTCCGGTCTTTTAGATTTGGATAATCACATGACGGCATTAGGGTCTGAATAAGTACCTCTATGCATTGATGAAGATTTGGATCAATTATTTTTAGTATCTGAATAATCCAAGTTGAGGTTCACAAAATTTCATGTGCGTTTGTTCGAATTTGAGTTTGCCACGGGGGTCGTAAGCCTGTGGAGATTACCTTTAAATTAGGCCATGGACACTATTTGACTACCGAACTCTTCTATTTCATGTATTGCTGCACCCCCAAACTTTTTTCAACTCAATTTGAACCGTGGACACCCATCAACAGTAATACTCGACGCAAACCACAATGGAATCTCACAAAATCGCCAGCTCTATTCTCGTACATATCTATTACACGTCGTCAGGGTTTATTTAATAAGTAAACTGAGACGTTCACAAACGAATCTATCACTCGGTACCGGTACTTCAACCGTTTTAGCGGTAAAGAAACTGATGAAACGCTGGCTTCAAATTACACCCAATCCATACCATCTCCCTTTAAGGAATCTTGGCAATCGATCAAAGTGGATATCATTTTATGTTCCTGGCTCAAAAAAAAGCTGATAGCCGTGCTCGCCTTGATAACGAATGACAGAGTGGCTCGGAGTGGTTAGATGAAGTGGAGGCTGTGGAGCTAATCGTTGAAAGGGATATATATTTGGAAGAAGCTTAAGCTTGGATCTCCATACGATGATGAATTTCAATGAAATTGGATCTTAGTGGATCATTATGAATTGGTTCGATTGGTTCTGGACTTTCAAATGTTTAGGACTGAAGATCGGATGAAAAAGACCTTTCCATCCCTTTCTTTGCTTGATTTCAATTGAAGCTTGTTTGGTTGGGGTCGTGTGCTGTTCATCCTGTCTTCATTTTCTTCTCTCCTTCCCTTCCTCCTATTTTCCTATACTTTCTTTGTAACGATTTATCTGGAATTGTACCAGTTATATACCCCATTGTTTACTTTTAATCCGGGCAACCTTAATCTGAACTTTATTCGTATATCCGCCCATCTCAATTGTGTCCGCCAATCTTTTCCAAATCCAATCTCATCTGCCTTCCCTCAACTCCATAGGTACAACCACAACTTGCCTGATCTAACTCTCCTTCCTCCCTACCTTTCCGATGGTTCACGCACGCACTTTTTCCCGCCAGCTTGGCAATACGCTCCCTACGCACAATCAACCTCAAGTTCCCCCTCAAATTGTCATCTCCGATTCAGAAGACCCACACAAGCCTGTTTACTACAAGACTTCGCACTGGAAGAACTCCTTCCTGAATTCCGTTCAATCTTCGCAAATCAAGACCAGTACCTCTTTCCAAAGTCTTCTGACGAGAATCAAGAAGTTACCCTCCAGATCCAAGATATTACTTGGCCTCGTCTGCCTTCTTTCCTTGGTATCACTTATCGGGGCCCTAGGCGGCGTACGTCTAGATCTTTTGAAGGGAGGAGAGCGATCTCCATATACACGGATACATTACGCGACGCATAATAAGGGCCCAAAGTTTGATCATAATAGGGATAAGGGGGTGAAAAGGGAAGAGGCCCCACCAATACCTGTACAGGCCATAGGACTCACGCCGAAGAAGGTGACACCTGTAGTTCATGAAGAGGGAAAGAAAGTTAAGAGGGATGAAATATCGACTACGGGTCTTACGCCAAAGAAACTTATACCAAGGCAGTTTGGGATTGTAGCAGATGCAATGTTAATGTGATAGTGCGGCGTTGAATGATGAGCTGTAAGTTATCTTTTGGTCAATGTGGAGGAATTGGAATGCGAAATGAAGCTTGTAGAATTCTTGCTAACATCTGAGAAAACAGTGCGGTGACATATGCCACAAGCGTTTGCTAAATGCTAGTGACTTTGAATCGAATTTATTGTCAAGCGGACCGAGTGAGGACTGAATAAGGAGTACATCGGAGTTTGAAAGGAAGGAAGTAATATACCAGGATTGAAGGAAATATTAGAAGAGCCTTTGGATACGAAATAATGATGCAGTAGAACATAGAGAATATTTGTCATCAAGATAGAATTTCAAATAATTTGAATTTAATCTAAGGCTCTCGAAGCTTGGCCACATGAAATACAAGCCTTTCTCTATTTTTTCACTTAACTGAAGAGTACGAACAAGGATCTGAAGAGCTTTGGGAGGATGAAATTTATTCTACTCGCCGAGAAGTTTCCCATAACGTCTCGTCTAATATCGCTGTTTCATAAGCCTCACCGTCATTCCTTGGAGTCGGCATTCTCGGCTATTCATCATTCGACCTATATTATATCCGACGAGAATATGCTAGGATTTTGTGATGTTGTGTCGTAGTTGCTGGGAATACATATGGGAAAGCACTCGACTCGCTTCTATCGAGCCATGACGAGATCAGGTGAAAGTGACTGATTCTCAGTTCTGATTGACCTCGGAAGCTTGTCTTGACGGTTCGCTCTTAGATCCAAACAACGTAAGAGAAAGCACGGTGCACTCCAATGCGGTAAAATTATTGTATTAAAATTACGAATCAGCTGATATCGTTTCCCACCATGAATATAGTTGCATCTCTTCACCCCCCCCCTATTCTATATCACAACTCCAGCTTCGTTGCCCTGTAAGCAAATATCGCTGCCTTCTCTAACACCCTTCCCATGCGTCATCTAAGGTCTCTCAACGGCAAGATCATCTCCAACTCCTCCACCAACCAATACCATCTGTCTGTTCTGAACTCTCCATGAACTTGGAGTTCCATCGAAGGATTTGGTGTCAACAAAATCATCTTCAAATTTGAACCATGCGGAGAAAACATGTGTTTGTGTTCCTTCCGTGTTGGTATCGAAATGGTTGAATGTGATGCTGTTGGATTTTGTCAGTCTTAATGTACATCAGAAAGAATGGCTATACATACTAGGTTGTGACATGAGCCTCGCTACTGTTTGCCTGGTTGATCAAGACAGCACTGCTAGTCAATTGATGAACACCATCTGTAACGTGGGATAAACCACTCTTTTCGTTGGCGATAATGTCGTCTCTTCCGATCCCTTTGAATGATTGTTAGCTCTTGTGTCATTTCTCCCCTTGGTCGCATGCTTCAATGTCCCTCGAAAATCACAGCCATCTCTTTCCATAATTTTATCTTGTCCACCATGAACAGTATTCCAATGAGAAGAAACAAGCCCCAAATTTTGCTTTCGAGTGGGTTTGAAAGCTTTGCGTGAAAACAAGAAAACAACATACAAAGTTCGGCCCCCAAGCCGGTGAAATTCGCAATAGCGTCATTCGTGTATACAAATTCTAAGGCAGTCCAGTTCTTCGAATCGAGGATAAAGGTCTCGAAAGCGAGTGTATAACGGATTTGCTCAATGGGTGAGTAAACGTATTGTGCGGATGTAGGGTTGTACAAGAAATCGAATGGAGACCAAGACAAGGCTCCTGGGAGGAGAGCGAGGGTGAGAAGAACTGCTGGAATCTGCATTGTGATGGTTTTTGATGTTGATTGAAAATGAAGAGGATGTCAATGAAGTGAATGTTGATTGAATGAATGTTGATGAAGTGAAGAATTGAGATGGGGGTGAGGACGAAAGATTAAGTACCCGAGAGATACAAATGCTGAGTCCATAATTTCCGGAAACTTTCCCAAGTGTCGAATTCTTGTGAACTGTAGCACAGATTGATGTGCAACTCCTGCACCTTCCCGGGACAATCGAGCTCGTTGGCTATTCAGCTACAAGCCACTATCTAAAATAGACTCGAGAACTTTCTCGCACCAACTAACGTTACATGAATTTTGTTTCATCGTGACTATTGGTTTTCGGTCAATATGCTTTTCCCTGAGCATTCGACTTTACAACTTCTGCCTTCGCTTTAAACTCATATCAGGACTTGGTGCGTCGGCATTTCGTCTGTACCTGAATCTAAAGCCCTGTGAGTCGGCTCGTCCCGACTAGTCAAATGTGATAAACATGACTAGAGCAGCTAAAGAAGTTTATTTGGGGAGATCCGACTTGGCACTAATTCACACCGTACTACGCTAAAGTAAGGAATAATTGACTTCCTTATAAGGTTTCTCCTCAAACCAACCTCTCATGGTCACATGATCCGAAAATTGGGTTGCGAGGTAATGAAGAGAGTCCAAGGGAATCTTCATTCGTACTGGTGCATTGTTTTTGGGTTCCGTTCTATCTCCGACGAAGTTCTTCAGGCTTCAAAAAGGACTTTCAAATGTTGGTGTGAGTGGAGATGAATTCATACTTCAAGATAAACCGAGTATAGATTTATTCACGTTGTTTCAAACCCAAGCGATGCATTGATCAAAGGTCAGAATGCTACACTTGAGCCACACCGTGGACATTACATTTGAGGCTAGCGATATTCCAATCTGGCATCAATACCTAGGCACATTTAAAGTTAAATGTTTCCACTTGTTGCAGGTGTTGATTGTCAAGCTTTTGAAAATTGTTGCTCTACACCGTGGCATGGACAATGCACTGAGTGATTCGATCTTGGAATGGCTAGCTTGCTTTTGTTAGACATTCATTGCTTTTGATGGACGATCCTATTGACCACTATATTCTCACTCGTAGCCAATCTACGAGTCATTTGCGCCCACCCAAAAAATTGTTCTCTATATGTTTAATTGGGTTCTACTATGACTTACAGGAAGAAAAAGAAAGAGTAATGTCAAATCTCCGACAGCAATAACGTCGATGCAGGCTTAATTAATTGCATCAACCATCACAGCTGCTGCTCTCTTTCTTTTTATAGAATCTAGTGATTCATAGTAAGCGCTATCAGTGCCGGTAACCATACCTCGAACTATAGATTTTCTCAAAGTAGGCAGAAGATTGGGAAGTTTCTTGGTCACTTCGTTTTCGGAAATTGTTGCATCTATTGCAAGAGATGGGTTGATGGCTGTGGATTGTCCTATGTCCTGTCAGTCAAAACCGAAGACAATTCCCTGGTGGATGAAACTGTCTGTCTTCTCTACAACATTTGAAATTTCCTGTGCGCCACAAGAGATTGCGATACAGCAAAGATTTTCTGTGAAAATGTACGAACTTCAAAACCAATAAGAATAGTATGCCTATAAACTCCTATTACAGATATTTTGAGCGATGCTAAACCTCTGAAATGTTGTTTGCCATCAGTTCCTGTAGTCCATGCTACTCGTAGGACTGACACATCAAAACAGAACCAGTGATCACCAAAGTCCCGCCACTCGGTCGAACAAAGTGTCAGAGAATCACGCCCTTTGTACGAATCTACATGAAAAAGATACTAAGCTATACAGTAGCCAAGCATTGATAGAAGACCCTCGTTGAAGAAAGTGGCTGTCACTCGAAGATAGTGAAGGGTGGTAGTCTAACTCCAGCTTCCAATGGCGAATCACACTATTGAGAGTCAAGCATCTGCCACAATATCAGATTATATGGATGTTACTCACTATTGTAAATTAAAATTACGATGGATTTTAGTATGTGGGTACCTATCATCGTTGATATCTGCGACATCTATGATTGGAACAAGCGATTGTCTCAAAGAGACAGACAAATTCGCAGAAGCTGAGGATTTGAAAAGGAGAATGTATCGGTTTTGGGATGAGCCAAGGGGGTGTACTTCTGATCTCTCTCCAATGAAAGGATGTTAGACTTGGGATACACAGAATATGATGAGAGGTAATTATACGATAGGCTCAAGGACAGTGCCTCACCCCGCCCCGAACATTCATCGGGAGTCTGTGTGCAAAGAAAGGACTCAGATATCACACATGAGCTCTATCAATTCTTGTATCGTTGCCATCATTGACATATTTGCCAAGTGACCTATATGGAAAGCGTACCAGCGCTTGAGTTTCCCCTCCTCTTCTCTCCCAGATAAAAGAGAAGCAGAACAATAGCCTTTGAAAGGTTGAGAAGTTTGAGAATTCAGTCGTTTCGCCTAGGCTTTTAGAGAGGAGAGGAGGATGAGAAGAAACAATTTCAGCGCGCATAGGCATGCAGTTCAAGTTCCGTAAAAGCACGTATACAGCAACGCTGCTGCAAAGAACAACCAATTAACCTGGACCGAAAAACTATAGTGCTCACTAAATATCTCTATCCGCAATCAAGTCATCGAAGCTAGAAACAGCAACACAGAAGACACTACCGACCTCGAAGACAATGTCATGTACCATATAAATCCTCTTAATGTCAAAAATACTGTAGATTTTGTATCTCAGAATGTAAGTGCAAACAGATTGATATGTACGCTAACAAAGTTCCACAGAACAAGGGAGAATGGTTGCTAAGTTTCCCAACGCATTAGATACAACCAATTTGGAAAGTTTTGATTTCTGAGACGACTTATAGTACTCGATAATAGTGGACTACGAGTCACTAGCTACGATAGTGCCATCAAAGCCATAGAGGGGTGTTGTAGAGACGATGGCGGATATAGTATCAGTCACGATGTATTGAATAGACTGATTGAATGATTAGGACTTGAGTGGGCAGGTCAAGTAAACCTTCCAACCGTACAACATTCGAACTTATTGATTACGCCCATCAAACTGGAATTCCTCTACTAGCCGATGTAACATTATCCGGAAGAGTGTTCCTGCATAAATATTATCTCAAAATCCACCACTTCAGACGCCTCAATAACACTTGTCATCTCCTACTCAACCAAAATCAAAATGAAACCATCCATACCACCTTCCCTCCTCTCATCCACTCTCCAATCCATATTCCTCATCGCGAACTCCAATTTTCCAGATGCGCTATCGTCAGATCAGCCCACACCAACAGAGTCACAAACACAAGTGTTGGATCCGCAGACCAACTGTTGTAACTTCCACTGTAGTATTTTAGTCTGGTACTCGGAAGCCCACTATTATATTAAATGTACGTGCCACTCACGCTGCTACTTCTATTGTTTGCTGTTTAGGTATGGAGTGATATATATACATGTGTAATCCTATGATCTGTGATGGCTAGCTATCGTGTCTTTTTTGTGTAAAGATGAGGATGAGATTAGGATGGATATTAGATAAAGGTCGAGATTAACTATGGAAGAGAATCTTAGAATGTAAATCTGAATTTTTAGGCCCAGGCATCTATCTGTATAGTACTTAAAAAGATAGGGTGTAATATAATGATATCATCATGCTAGATAGATTCGAATAGGAGAACATTTGGCTCTTTCGATCTCTCAAACGCCCTTTCTCCCCTTTAAACCTTCATGTTGGAATGACTCCATTTCCATTTCCATTTCCATTCCCACATCCACTCAATCTCACCCATCCCATGCCACCAACCGCATAAGCTCACCCATCTCCAACTCAAATCATTCCTCGTTTCACCCCTGTCTATCTCCAAACAGTTGTTCCCCTCCATGCCAACTCAACTCGATGCTAAAAGTTAACAACCACACTACTGCATCATTCATTACACACAGAGTTAGAGTTATGAGGGCCGAAAACTTTTCCCTCGCGGTACGAATACGCTATTCTCTAGTCTCGTGCACATTCTCTTGTTTGTGTAGATTCTCCTTGCCAACTTTCTTCCTTATCCCTCTCAACTATTCTTCTCCTATATATCCTGCCCTTTCTCCTCTCACCTTTCCACCATAACCCATATCCTCACCACTACTTGAATCCCCCCCACGATCATGTCATCCAAAACCACCAGCGGCTATGCCGTCATCACCGGAGTACGTACCTGCCAACCCATCAGCCCACCCCTTCTTCTCCTCACACGTTCCTCACCGCCACCCCCCTCTCCCTCTCCCTCCCACTAACCCCCCCACAGGCGGGCGGCGGCATCGGCAAAAACAGCTGCTTCTCCTTCGCCGAATCCGGCGCCTCCGGCATCCTTCTCGCAGACCTCTCTCTCTCCTCCGCCCAAACCGCCGCGCAAGAATGTAAATCCTACGCATTCAACCCCGACTGTCTCATCCTCTCTATACACATCGATGTAACAGACGAGTAAAGCGTGCAAGCAATGGTTGATACAGCTGTTAAGGAATTCGGCCGTGTAGATTATTACGTGCATAGCGCTGGTGTATGTTCCATTTCCATTCCCTTATAAAACCCCAGCTTTATCCCCTCCCCGAACTAACACTCCCCCCTCCCACCAGATCGGCACCAGCACGCCCTCCCCTCTCCGAATTCGACCACATCCTCAGCACCAACACGTGCGGCACGCTCCTCTGCAACCGCGCCATGCTCCTCCAAGAACCTCTCTCCTACCAAGGCCGCTACACCACGCGCTCGCTCGAACGCGGCTGCACCGTGAATCTCAGCTCTGCGAATTCCGTCGTGGCGTTTCCAGGGAAGACCGCCCACACCACCGCGAAACATGCTGTGGTTGGAATTACGAAATCTGGAGGTATGGGAACCGTTACATACCCACGCGAGTATGATACATAATTCTCGATATGTGTCACGATTCAACAAAGCTGACCCCCGAAACAGCAGTCGACTACGCCCCCTACAACATCCGCATCAACGCCATCTGTCCGACCGGGGTGGCCGGCCCCATGAACACGCACGAAGCAGCTCTCAACCCGCACTTCGAGCACATGGTGCAAGCCGTCGTGCCGCTGAAGCGCGTGGCGCAGCCCGATGAGGTAGCCGATGCTATTCATTTTCTGTGCAGTCTGGCTGCGACGTATATCACGGGTGCGACGTTGATTGTCGATGCGGGGTCGGGGTTGACGGTGCGTTTGTTTTAGTGCGTGCGTGAATTGGAAATGACGGCGTGGATTTGACAAGTGAGAGTTGTGTGCTCGATTATCTGTTTGTAAGGGGGGGGGACTTCTGCATGTATAACTTGGTTAAAAGGCTCGGCTTAATGAAATCAGATTTTCTTGCCATCGTAGCCTAACGAGGGAGATACTACATTGCATCAGAATCAACAAGAATATCAATCGATGTAGAATAAAAAGAAGACGTAGAACATCTCATCACTATAATTTTTTTGTCCGATTGTCTTCTCATTTATCTCCCCGACCTATATCGTAATCTCAGCTATCTTATTTTTCTACTACCAATTCTTACATCCCCACCTCTCACCCAACTACGTAAGCCCCAATTTAACTACTTCATCACAAGCCATCCTTTGTTCTCTAAGCACAACCCCTACCTGAAATCGACCAACAAAAAAGAAAAAGAAAGTCCACCACGCAAAGAATGCCCCCTCCACAAATCCCAAGGGTATTTACAAAGGAGTAGAATGCTAACCCGCCATCCAGTGCCATCTCACATCAAAGTCGGAAATCAAACCTCGCATCATAAACACAAGCGATCTCTGAGAGCCTCTTGAATGAAACAATGGATGGCGGTTGCAATAAGAATGCATGAATAGAAAATGATAGAACCTTCTCATGGGTGAACAACTAAAAAGGTAAAATAGAACCCAAAACATAAAAAGTGTATCACAGAAGAAAAAAAAAAAACGCCTTTCCCAAAGTACAATGCAATAGGCCCTTTTCAAGAAGTTGAGACGAGTTTTGTTCCGCCCACAAGAAAGACATTATCTTTTTTTATAGATTTCCCACAACCAAATGCCCGTGTTCGTGAAGTTCATATCCATAGCAATTCATGCTCCAAACCCTTCCCTTGAAGGGGGCCCAAGTTATCCTTCATGCTTCGCTCTTTTTTGATCTCCACTTTCAAGATGTTCATCTTGATCAGGGGTCTTTCGTTTACCGCCCCTTTCACCATTATCGTCTCTTAGAAAACTTGGACCTGTGCCCACAACAGGAGTTGCAAAATTTAGAGGACTAGGTAATGTGTTTGAGTCACCACCTCTACCGTAATCCCAGCTGGGATTTCCAAAGAATGACGAAGGACTAGGGAGGAATTCATTGTTCATGAATCGCGATGGAAGAGCTGAGACTGGTGTCACGTTTTCTATTATATTGTTGTTCGAGTTGTTGTTGTTTCCACTTGCATTGGATCCTTGAGAAGGTTGTGTAACAGGATGCGGTCGTGCAAAAGGATTAGGTGGCCCCGATGCGCCGGCTGACAATAGAGCCGAGGCAGAAGGCGAAGGTGGTGGTAGTACCATTCCGCCATGATCACCGCCATTGCGACGCGCCTGAGGATTGGCGGCACTCGCAGATCTTGGGGATGAGAGATCTTCCGCAGTGGCAGATCCACCGTTATCCGACGCCTCTTCCGGAATTTGCACTTTCAATACAGGCCTCTTACCACCACCAACACTCAACTGAGCACTGTTCGTACGAGATGGTGGCGTGAACCCATCTGGTAAGGATGACATGGATATGTTCCGATTTTTGTTATGCGTTTGTGATCTCTGAGGTGGCGAAGGTGGCTTTATACGATTTACTGTAACATCTACGGATTGAGATCGGTCAGTGGGCTCTTCCTTTACGGTATCAGTATTGGAAGTTGAGCTTGCCCAGTGCTGGGACAGGATCGATCGGCTCTCATCAATTGGCGTGAAAATACTTCTAGATTTTACAGATAAACGCTTGACCGGCTCTGGCATCTGTGATTGTGGTTGCGTTTGCTGCTGTTCTGGCGACGGTTGAGGCGGCTGCGATTGTGGTGGAGGTTGTGGCATTTGCTGCTGCTGCGGCTGTGGAGGTGAAGTAGTTGCGCGTGAGGATGCAGGCCTTTCCTGTGGTGGGAATGGTGGCGGTACCGAAGATCTTTTTTGCTCCTCCACGTATAGCTGTTGTACTTGCTGTGGGTGAGGATGTTGAGGCAGTTGCTGTGGATGCTGTTGTGGATGTAGCTGTTGAGGATGCTGCTGGGGATGTTGTTGAGGATGCTGTTGAGGATGCTGTTGGGGATGTTGCTGGGGATGTTGTGGATGCTGTTGCATATGCTGTTGAGGGTGTTGAGGGTGTTGAGAGAGGTGTTGCGGGTGCTGCTGCGGTGCAAAGTGTGTGTATTGTGGCCCAGGACTTTGATGTGGATGGGGGATTCCTTGTGGGGGCCTTGTATGTGCTGCGGAAGCCCATGTGCGTGTGGTGGCAGACCAGGTGTCATTTGGGGGTTGTAAGGTGATGGATTTGGCGCATAAACAAATTGTCCGTTGGTAGGAGGGCCATGAGGATGCTGCGGTACAAGGGAGCTTTGTCTTCGTGGAGCATTTCTAGATGATGGACGGGATCCCATTCCAGGTTGTGGCGTATGTTGTCGTTGTTGCTGCTGAAGATGTGGAAAGACACCATTTGGAATTGGAGGCGAGGCAGATGGAGTATGATGACGGATGTGTTGATATGGTTGGTGTTGAAATTGAGGAGGCATCATTGGTTCAACTGATCCGTGATGGGAAGGGGGAGATCCATCATCGTCATCGTCGTCATCATCCATCCCCTTTCCTTTGCCCGAATAATCGGCAGGTCCTTTGTGTTCGTTGGCTCCTCCATACTACAATTAATGTCAGTTTGTAATTCTTGCGCCAGACACGGTAGAACACGTACGTATTGATATCTTGTCATAAACTCTCCAATATCACCACTAGAATACTCGTATAGTTTCTTATTACTGCCGAATATTATAACCGCGACATCGACGTTACAGAGAACGGAAAGCTCATGCGCCTTCTTGAACAAGCCTCCTTTGCGCTTCAAAAAGGTCCTGAGAGAATAGCGTTAGTATTTTGCGCCGCGGGATATATTCGCACAAAGAGAACCTACACTGAACGGTTCCTATCATCCTTGATAGCCTTGATCTCAATCTTTCTTCTCCCCATTGCGGCAGAGGCGCGCCGTTCTTGTGGTATAAAATTCGATTGCGCGAATTGGTCCAGCTTAAGACGTGTAATTGAGACGAACTATGCGAACTAAAACTCGCTGATTGTTAAAGTCGCGTAGGATCGTGGTCATCAATGAATAATAATGAAGGGACAAAGGAACCGAAATTTAATGTGAATTTTGGAATACAATAGCGGCGAAATTGAGCGATACAGATAAGTACAGTAATCGATTGTTTGAATCGCGGCGGAGCAATATGTCTGACGTGGGATGAGAGTCTAGATGTAGTTTGGGTGTGGTGGTTAAATGTCGCTATATAAAACTGTGATAAAAAAGTAGATGTCGAGCTGATGAAGGGGGTCGTCAATAAGGTTGCGACCGAGTTTGTCCCTTTGACAAGACGTGTGTGTGTATGTGACGAGGAAAAAGATGCGTGCGTTAACAAGTTGATGTGATTTGATTTGATATGATCTGATCCGGTTTGATCTGATTTGATTGTAACTTTTTTTTTTGCTTTTGCTCCAGGCAATTGAAGAAGCGCGAAGAAAACTCGAAACACCCGCACGCAAATAGTGATACAGCGCGTGAAGAAAAGACACCTTTTTGAAGCAAAAACGGGACAAGCTTGAGTTGATTGAAAGATATCTTTCCTGAAGAGGGGAGCAGTTGGATCAATGATATAGGTATAGACAAGCCTCTCCAAAGAAAATCCCAAGGCAAGGTATGAGATGAGGTTACTCTTTAATTTTTTTCTCGAGATTCCTTTTGAAGTACAACTGATAGGACTGATAAAGTATATCGCGATGAGATACTAAATATAGATATTTTTGGATCGTGATATAATAAATGATGGAAGGGGGGAAGGGGGGAAGGGGGGGAAGGGAAAAATGGATGAAGGGTGGTACCCAAGTTCCAAATCTGAAAGGAGAGAAAAAGGGAATTTTCTGGTTAAACCTTGTCTTCTCATTTTTGGATTAATGAACGATGCTGCTCATTCTATTGAAATCTTGAGATTGATTGACTAAACTGCAATAGGAAGAATGTCATTCATCGAATCCATACAATCTATATAATCCATATAATCCATATAATCCACATAATCCATATAATCCATATAACCCATATAACCCACGTAACCCACGTAACCCACGTAACCCGTATAATCCATATAACCCATATACATCGTGTTTTCTTCATACGTGCTATACGCAGAAAGAGATAGACCAGGGGCTTGTGTTAGTATTCTTTCCTTTCTTGTGTTGCTTTTGATCTTGCTCGTCTTGGTAACGATTGATTCGTCCTTTGACCTATCCGGTAGGTACTAGATAAGGCAGGCTTGGTAGATTCTCTGACAGGTAGGTGTTGATCATGATGCCTGCTTGCCTTTTGCGTTGGTCAATCAGCTGGTCGTTGAAGGGAAAGAATGATGTCTAATAGCTCGGTATCTAATGTCTAATGTCTAATGTCTATAGGTAGAGGCAGAGGCAGAAAGGAGAACTCGAGATAATCATACCATAGTCTAATGTGTCCAGTATTGATATCTCATTCAGTAAAACCTACCCATATGCACAAGACGGTAGGTGTTACTCGTAGAAGCCTGAGAATTGATTCATCAAGGGCCCGCTCACTCATACTAGGTCTCTTGGGCGCTCTCGATTGGTCCTAATTCGCAATGAATTAATGAATCCCCATACATCTGATGCACTACGGTACTCAAGCACAACTTACCATCACTCAAACGAGTTAAAGTGTGCGATGTTTGGGCGGCGCGGAAATTACCTCCCACGGTACACTTGGATGTCGAGATTTGGTTATCAATGCTCAACACCTTCCTGGTCAATGAGGGGTTCGAATTTCTCTATCTTATTGAGGGCATTGAAGAAGGTATTGAGGGTATTGATGATATTTGATGCTTGACACCTGATGCTGATTACCTACATGTGCACACGGTACACGTACCCGATATCACTATCAATCAGTAGGTACCACACACTACTCGCGAT